TCATACATAACGATATGTAATTCGGCCATTTTATACGATTTGCCTTTAAATATTCTATAAGAGAGAGCAATTCATCTATGACTTTTCCAGAAGAGTCGTAGAAGACGAATCGTCTACATCTTTTGGACGACTTGTTAAAAGGTAGACAAGTGCTTATAACTGATGGTGCGTAAGCAATAAGAAGAAACTCCAATTAAAATGGTGGGAGTGAAGAGTAATGAACATTTTCCCGCAATCAAAAATGTTTGCTGGGTATAAGATTTGCTATAAATACCAACATATATATATAGCTAAAATGACGATCCCCTATTTTTCAGTAGTGTGAAATTGGCCCACAAGAATATGCTAATGACGCGCAAATGTTTCCATTGAGGTATGTACATATGCATGTATGTATGTATGTAAGTGGGGTGTTCCATACCAAAACGGACGGGGTTCACCTTTCATGTGTTTGGTTTGTTTCAAATTTTTAGGGTTGATGCATAAACATAAATAATAAATAATTATGAAATTTGAGCTTGATTAATATATTTTTAAAAACTTAACAGCACAAAAAACACAAATCGATATAATAGTTTTCCAAATATCTCCGGAGAACGGGGCGAGGAAAATATTAAAAAAACACATCAAAATTCTCTATGAAAATAAAAATTAAAAAAAAATTTTTTTTTTTTTTTGTTGAAACATTTTTCACATCGAATTTTTTTATAAAAAAAAAACAGTGAGTTTTTGAAAATATGCCTTCTCAAAAAAAAATTTAGAAAATCACGATGGTAGCTCTGAGTATTGCGCAATATTTAAGTATAGTATTATGGGGTGCACTCTACAATAATTTGAGTTATGCATTTTTTGTTACATCGAAGTTGAGTAAAATGAGTACATTACAAATTTACAAAAGTTTCTACAAAAGCATGACAATTAGTATGAAAAGTGTAAGGCACAAAAACATCGCTTGGGAAGATACATACAATCTCTTCTCTAAATTGTTTTTCACATTCAATCCAAAAGTCTTTACAAACATTTTGAGAATAACAATTAAAACGAATAACAATTCCGCCAAAAAAAAAAAAAAAAAATACACACGGTAATATACCTAAACGAATCGTTTTATATTGTTATAATTAAATTAAATCGCCAATGAAGTGTAAAATCCTCATTGCCACCAATAAATAACTTGTTAGTATTTAGAAATAATTGGCAATTGCATGAGAAAATTTATAGAAATTCAAAATTATATACCCTCCTATGAAATCGAACAAATAAATGCTAACAAGCGACGAAATCAAAACACAACATAATTTCGCAGAATTCGCTTTACGTGTGTCTGACGGAAGTAAATATTTATGGTACGCTAAATATACATCGGTTCCGTTTCTTTGCCTATGTTATGAATGAAATGATGCGTATTTTTTATTACTTTGGCGATGAGATATTTTCCATATTTGTATTTTTAGAATATGCACAGGTAGATGCATACATACATACACTCGTACATATGCACGTAATTATTTTGGAAAGATTTTGTTTATTTTCATAACAGCATGTTTCCATTTGGATGGAGTGATTAATTCGTAATATTTATGTGGGATAGCCCGTGAGCAATGTTTTATTTTTCTGAATGGCATTTCTATGTTACGGCCAAATATGTGCTTAAGTATATACATACATAACTACATGCAGAGTGTATTTAAATGTGATGTTTTGGTGTTTACGCATTTCTAGTGTAAACAAATAACATATTGTACGTGAAAATTTTTGGGGAAATATCGTAAACGATTTCATAAAAAAATTAATAACTGCGGTGTGAAAAATAGAAAATGCTTTCATGCATACGTACATACATACATACATATGTAAGTGCATATCAAATTACATATTAAACATTAATAATAATAATTAATAATAATGATAATCCAATTAAAAAAATCAGGGACCGAGAACAAAACGTATGACCGAAACTAAATGTCGTATTCGTAATTTTGTTCACAACAACGCTTCAAATCACAAACCGAAATGAGAAAAAAAAACAATCAAGAACGTTCTCAATAGGAATTATATAAGAAAATATTCTGTGGAACATTTCTAAGAGAACAAAATGGGAGCAAAAGTAACCGAAACGTTTTGGCAAAGAACAAAACGGGAACAAAATCCTAAGGGACTTTCTCTCGAAGAACAATTTGGGAACTAAAGTCTGAGGAACTTTCTGACAGAGAACGAAACGGGAACTATTCGTTAGGAATGGAAGTGAGAACAAAATTTTTCTCATATCCTTCCATTAGTTTGAAATGTTTGGATATTTCAATTAATCAAAAAAGAACTGAAAGATAATTATGCACAGCAAATGAGAAACTGTTCCATAAATGGATAGTTAACCGTAATTATAGCTTTCCTCGGGCTTAGAATTAACAAGAGTGGTTCTCACTGAAACGATTTTTCATCCCAACATGCAGACGTCCCTGTCATTCTTAACGTTAAGTTCTCAAAACTGTTTTTCTGCTCTTGTTCTCTAGCAGAACGTTCCCCAGATATTTCTGTTCTTATTTGATCCTCCTTGAAAGCGTTCTCGATATTTTCGTTCTTTATTTGTTCCCATTGTACATTTTTTTCACGAAACCCCCAAAACCTTTTTAGTTGTTTGGTAATTTATTAAAGGTGGTTACATTAAAACTTATAGAACATTTCTCCAAAATAGGATAGCACTTGTGTGCGAATACACACCGATTTAATAAGAATAAAGGTAAAGGAAGTGCATGAAAATAGAAAATAGCCAGATGTATTTTGAAACGAATTTTTGTCATCCTTTATGAAATTTGGTTTGGAGATATACCGGTTTTCGCGCTGCGACTTCTTCAGTGTCATTTCGAAAATTCGTTCCGAAATACATCGTCTTCTTATCCAGTCAGAAAAATCAGCCCTCAATTTCCAATTTACGTTCGTTCATACCTAGATGTTAGGATTCAGGAGCAATTAATTGTTTTATTCCCGAGCACACTTGTGCACAAGCTCTATTAGCTTTATTCGCATAACAGTGGTTTATATCAGGCTAAAGATAAATCGAATAGGCCATGTATGTCACGATAACTCGAGTAAAAAATTTTAATGTCTCAACGAAAGTATGTTCGCGGATTTCCCTTGCACAAACCAGCGATATTTTAGTAACTACTGAAGCTAATCAACCGAAAATATATACATATTTACTATAACCTCTTAGTAAGAAATAGAATTATTATAATTTTTTGGAAAATGGGCGTTGTCCTGCTCACTTATGATTTAATATGTTTATCTCTGTATCCGCTTTAAGAATTTATACCAAACTTTGTGCAGTTGTTGACTTTGAGAAACTTTTTAAAATCGGAAAATACCCACGCCCACCTCCCATATAACGGTAGTTTACCTATAGTAGTTTTACCTATGAGCCAATCGCTTAAAAAAAAAAAATGGTTTGGTCCAATCCCCAGCCGAGTGCTGTTCGGTGTAATGATTCCAGTATATTCATTTATGTATATTGTAACTATCAATATCTTATAAAGAGAAGTGCAACTTTTTTTTTATCTAAAACTAAAAAAGTTAGAAGGACGAAATTTGCTGTGGTAGTTAACATATTAGTCCTTGACATACATATATATTTTTTTCAAAAATAAATATTGGAAATTTCCAAGGATATTCAAGGATAAAGTTTTAAAAGGACAATATTCATCCTGGTGCACCCAAAAATTATTATTTTTTTCTATTCTACAGAATTTTTCCTTTTAATGGATACCCATATTGTTATTCTACAATGCACCGAATCTTTTGAATAATTTTTTTATTCAATCATATTCTAAAAATTTCACTTTTAAAAAAATCCTGACGCCAGGGAGAAAAACTAAAAACGCAGATTTACTATATTTGGCCCCCAGTTTTGCGAATATATTAATTTTTTCGTGTGTAAAATTGACTGTCGCACGGTGTTTTATAAAAAAGTTCAGTACCAGCTTAAACAAGTAATGTAAAAAACATTAAGACAATATTAGTGGCTAATAAAAAATGGACCTCCGCATCATCCAACGGCAAACTTTATTTTTATTTTTTGAGTTATTTCTTTCCATTTAAGAATTATGGTTTTAAATATAAAACAAATCGGACCAAAAATACGTATTTTCCAAATAACTCGACTGCTGCCCCACCTATCGCGGAAATATTTTTTTGGGGGTTTTGCCTTTTCATGTAAGTAATATTCTTTTTAAATATGAGCCATACCGGATAATTAATACGGATTTTTCAAGATTTGATTACACACAGATGAAACATAATAAAAGCTTTTAAAACGGGGCTTAATTAATTTCATGCTCATACACATGAACGGAAGACACAAGATCACGCGCCAATGAAAGAGGTAAAAACGTAATTTTCTAGCTGTCGAAATCTCGACGCCATCTTTGTTGTAAGAAGTAAACAACGAAGAGAACGAAGAAAACCGCGTAATTGTTGAACGCATGAATAATCATTTTTATTATACAAATTCGTCTAAAAATCATGGCGTTGTGTTAAATTATTCTTTACCTTATGTGTACACACCTTGTCACAAGCGAATATGAAGAAAATTACAGTAAAAATCCATCACCAAACGAACAAATGTAAACAAACGGCTAATGTCAAAATCGCCCAACTTTTTTCCTAAATGCGATTTTAACGGGCTACTGGTTTGCTGGCGTGATCTTGCAATTGCAAGAATGATAGAATACAAGAATGCGCCCATCAGAGGATTTTTGAGAATAATTTTTGTGTGACGTCACACTGGTGCAATTGCGAGAGAAATGCCAAAACGTGAGCAAGAATGGAAAAAGAAGAAAAAATATTGCAAGGAAAACGTAAACAAGTTGCACAAGTGCGACGTCATACAAACAACGATTCTGTCAAATTCACTGAGAGGGGAATAGCGGTACCGTGATGGGCGCAACCTCTATTTCTCTCAATCGTGATACAATTGTGTATTTTTAATTTTGTTAAATTAGCCTTACCTGACTAGTTTTGTCCACTGGCTTATTAGATAAGCTTTCAGATACGCCACTCTTTGCGGAGACTTCTTTTCCATTTCCCATAATAGATTTTCTCTTTTGCGATAAATTTACATCCCTTATATTCTCTTTAGCGATGCATGCAGTTGCTTCACCGCTCTCCAAACGTTGAAGCTCTCGCATTTCAGATTGGTTTGCATTAACCGGAGAATCGCTGCCATTTTTGCTGTTGAAGAGAAATAACATGGAACAATTTTGAAAATGTGTTATTTACCGTAAGTATTTAATATGGAAGTGGGAGTAATTAATTCACAAATTGCATAAGAGTTTTGACAAATATCTCACCAGCATATCAACCCACAAAATTTATCCATAACTGTTATACGAAAATTTTGCCTATTGCCTATTTAATGGTAACTTTTTGCAACTGAAAGCAGACCCAACCGGTGCCACTTAATGTTTACTAAGAGTACTTTTCGATTAGAACTTTCCCATCGCCACTACTAAAATGAAAAGAAATCACAGACTTGCATACACACATATTTGCTTTATTTTTCTTTTTGTAGCTGACTGTTAAATTGTGGCGATATATGTAGTTGTTTTTGGAGTGAATAATAAAAATTTTAAACACACATATTACACACCTGCATACCGTATAAAGCAAGTATGTACAATCAGTAAAAATTTCTACTGATAAGAGGTTTTATCAAACAACCAAACGAAACGATAAATCAACAAAAGCGAAAAAGCTTAATTGACTCACATAACGGCAGAAACTGAATTAAATTCATTTGAGACATTCGTGTGGTGTTGGAATGCCATAGACCAAATATTCGACCACTAATGTGGTGGTAAAACTTTTATAAAAGCAAACATAGATTTCTATTTGCACATCCACATACATTTTTGCGATATTCGTGGTAAAATGTCCGCGTTATAGTACTGAAGTCTAAACGTTTTATTAGCAACTCTCACTTTGGAAGATATTCGCAAATTTGCTAAGTGAATTAAACGAACGCAATACTATTTTTCGGTTTCAAAACAAACTACAGTTTTTCTGTCGAAAAAACAATAATATGTATGTATGTAGCTACTGTAGCTGTAGTTTTAGATGCATTTTGATCCATAGACTCTCAATTGATTTTGTTTACAATCGCTAACGTGACCTCCTTTATTGTTTGCGGATTTCCAAGGCACGAATAAATATGCAAATAAACCCAGATAAACTCAATTCGCATAAAACGATGAATCACTCCGGTTTTCAAGAACTAGCTCACAGTCGCTCACTGATTTGTAAACTGATTTACGTTCAAGCGGTCCACTGACTGGGCTTAACTGTCGTTCGGAGAGGCCGCATACAATCAGTCGATCTTTTGTCACTGCACGAAAGCGCACACATTCCATTCCACTGCGATCAGACATATTAATGCTGCGTCAATTGAGGATCGGCCTTGCTTGCACAGCTGTTTCAACTTGTACTTACTGTTTGTATAAGTACATACATACATACATAAATATGTATGAGTATGGCTCACTTAAAGTGTTCGAGTCAAGTTGTCGCAAGGTAGACCGAGCGCAGCTTCTAACCTAGCCTAGCCTAAAAGCACGCGCGAGATATAAAAAAGAGCGCTAAGGGACAAACAGCAAGCAGCCGGCGATTAACAATTTCAAATTTATTTATATTTAAAATTTTTTTGTGAATAACCGGTTCAATACCTAAGTCTCAATCTCTTCCGGGCTTAAATGCTTGATTTTTAAAGCAAATATGTAGATATCTTTATCTACTTTACGTATGTCTATGAACGTTTATAGTATGTATGTACCTGCATATGGATAGAGACACACCAATACAGCCCAACACGTTATCGCAAAAGCGCAAATTTCAAAAATATTTTTTATATTTTTCAAAGAGTTGGAGGTGGCAGGCAGGGTGAGCACTATTAAAATCATCGAAGTAGTTTCAGCAAAAAAGGCAAAGCACAAATTCGAGTGCATAAATTAAATTCCAAAGCCATTTAATTTACTTTCGATTTCATTCAAAAATAGAGCTTTTAAGTACTTTGATAACACTCACATACATATGTATGTGCAAACTTTTTTCATACATATAGTAATTTGCGAATGTATGTATGAAAGTATTATAGAACATTTTCGATGAGGAAATGTACTGTATTGGACATAATTGTTTCACATTTTTAATTTCATTTTACGTGTAGGGCGAATGCAGAATACATACATACATATATTTAATATAACATATATTTTAAATTGTATATAAGTACTTTAGTTCTGTTGGGCCTTGAGATCACGTTAATATGTACAGTTTTCAACTGACGGTAAAAAACAATATGAAAAATAAAATATATTTTGTTAACATTTCAATATTGCTGACTGCTTGGCTTCCGCGTTTTTACGTAGCGTTGAAGTTAAAAGCGATTTCTTTGAAATGCCCTTCTGTCTGAAAAAAATAAATAAAACTTCAAAAGAAATACACTCTCAACTCTAAGTACATAGTTTTTTTTTAAGTTATTACCCGCAAAACCTAACTTAGAATATTTTACGCTTTTACAACAACTAAACACCTATTAATTTCAAGCAAATGCATATATATAACTTTATGTTACTCTGAGGCATGCAGCTGCGAGAACTCATATGATGCAACTATTTTTCATGGCGATCTAAAAATTTTAATGCCTTGCAACTGTAAATGTCATTTTAGGTTAACAAGTGCAGCAGCCTTTGTCATACTCCCATACATATGTATATGTAGGTATGTATGTTGAGCTAATTGAATTTAATCAACGCTACTTACTTCAGAATAGGAGCTGTATAACTCTCATGCATTCCACACACAAACGCACAAAGCGCTTCTTTAATTAAAGACAATAAAGAATGTACTGCCGTCACCCAAATGAATAATTGTGTGCATGAAAGAGCAAACAATTGAATTATTTCATGTTGTTGTTGTGGTTGTTGTAACAGCATACGAATACCCCTAATAGTTTTTGGGAGTGTTGCTGCAGTGACAGTCCTTGGCCAGGGTCCGATAAATCTTTTCTTAAGATATGGGGTCTAAGTGCAAAGTCCAGCAAATTTAAATTTTTTATCAACGGAATAATAATAGATTAGCGCTTACACATATGTCAGTGTTTGGCCGAGCTTCTCCTTCCATTTGTGGTGTGCGTCTTGATGAGAAACTGTTTTTCATGGCAGAAATACACTCGGAGGTTTGCCATTGCCTGCCGAGGGGCGACCGCTGTTAAGAAAAAAACCTTTTCAACAGAATAGCCATGGTATAATTTTGAAAGAGGACATAATACTGACCGTCTTCGCAGAAGAATCTCAAACGCCAGCACGTTGGACTACAAATATCTTTGATTTCTCCCAGAAAAATATTCTTAATCAAAAATTAGGAGAAGGTGCGAACAAAAAAACTTCCACAACATAACATAGAAAGACCTTAACGCTAAAAACCTATTGGATTTTAAAAATAACTATTGCAGCATAGAATTAGTTACATTCTTCAATAAAACCCGCCTTTTTAAGAAACTTGCGGCAAATGGACTGAGTTTCTATGGACTTTTTTCATCACTCCATGCTGGACTATACCTTCGTTCAGCGAAAATGATCAGCATGATGCCCCTTTCAAAAATATACCGTAGTAATTCTGATGCAAAAACGCCGAAGTACAGTATAATTAAAGTAACACACAAAAATGCCTAACCTATCTTTTTAAGGTAGTTTTAAAAGTCATCCCAACGTTCTCTGCTGCTGATATAGAGACATTTTCGTACACCTACTCGAAATAAGCTGTTGTTCGAATTGAAATTGTAAATTGTTCACTACTTACTCGCTTTCACCGTTATTCAACTTAAGAAGGTATTGTGCACGTGCTTCATCATGACATTTCTTCTTCAAATCAATTATTTTTTGACGCTCATGCTCAATCACGTGATGACCTGAAATTAATTAAATTCATAAGTTGGGAACAATGTAAGTCAACTTTATAACTTCAATTGAATGTACCTTGTTGTGCCAGCAGCAGTTGCCGATTGCGTTCTATTTCTTTAATGCTATCAAATATTCTCGTACTGGCGCCTTTTGTTGAAATGGGTGCGCTACTCGTCACTTTACATATGCGATCAATATCGTCCTGCGATGGCACACGACGTTCCAGTGGATTTACTTCGAAATCATCATTACCCAGCGAAAGGTTAAATTTAACCCGTTCACTATGTTGACCATCATTCTGTGTATCGCTTTTGTCAAATTGCACGGGGTCTGTATCAGCACATTCGGTGGTATGCCGTGCGTCAAGACTTTTACATGGCAAATCGGCATCATCAATATCAACGACATACAGCTGCTTACGTTTAGGAGTGCTTGTGACTGGCGCTTGAGCCGGCAGTTCAATTTTATTGTTGAAAAACATATTCTCATTTACACTTTTAGACATTATATCCGCACTACTACGCTTGGGACATAGCAGTTCGGCAGAACCAAAGAGCGATTGGGACATAACACCCGCTGCCAGGTTGTTGTGCAGCATAGGCGAGCTCGAAGATGCCGTGCTGACGTCCTCTTCGGATGTGTCCACTTTCAATTCGCCGGTTATGTCACAAATGCTGCTCTCAATCGCAGTTAGGCGCTCTTGCTCCATTTTTAGTAAATTACATGCATTCACTAACTTTGACTTTAAGGTTTTGGCGTGCATTGAAGGGTTGCCCAAATCCTGGCCCTCCAGATGCTGTAACTCAATGCGTTTCTCCTTTATTTTCGCGGACAAATTCGCTTCTTCATTGTGTAACTCCTCGCGATATGCATGCCATTCAGATTCTTCTTCCAAATACTGGAATTCTAAATCCTCAAATGTTTTACGATCATTTTCCAGCGATTCGCTCACATTATGGAGTTCTTCTTTTAGACAGTCATTACTCGGTTTCTGCTGCAACATCGACTTTAATCTGTTAATCGAGAACAAAAAAAATTTAGAACAACTTTATATACTCGAATTGAATTTCATCATACTCACTTCTTCGCTTGATCCTGCTTCATTTCAATTGACTGCTTTAGTTTTGCCTGCTGATTTTCCTCCATGACGCGCGTGGCATTACGCTGCGCTTCAAAGCGATGGATTTTGTTCTGCAAGAGCTCAAGCTGCGTCTCCAACTCACCAACAGAATCACCGACGGAGTGTACTTCGGCAGTAACCAGCGCCTTTTCCATATCCAACTGTAAACGTAGCAAAAGATTAAACTAACACTTTAACGCAACACAATTTCGAATTCTTACCTCCCTCAGTTCTTCTGCCTCCATCTTTTGTAGCTCCGAGATTTCATTCTTCAATTCCTGTACTCGCATTAAGAGCTGCTTTCTGGTTTGTTTAAGTTTTTCAATGTCTTCACAGTCACCCAAAATCGGTTTTAATTCAGCAGCCGCGGCTGTTTTCGGCAGAGAAATGCCATTATCAGTAAAATTCGAACTTTTTGTAGCGCCAGCGTTGTTAAAGCTCATCAAAGCTGTTTTTGAGAACATTCGCGGTGCTGGTGCCGGCTTCTTTTGCAGCCTGGGCGAATTTTGCAATGAATTCGATTCGTGCAAGTTTAGCGTGAGATTGTTAATATTTTTATTTGTACGCTTCGCTGGCGAATGATCAGCTGATACCGACGCGGTTTTAACAGCACTCCTCGGCTGATAACGGCAGCTCTCCTCTATGGCTTGCATTTCTAATTTGAGTTTCTCCTCAAAAGTCTTTATCAGCTGCTCGTATTCACTCTGTTTGGGTGGCTTGGGTGCCACTGGTGGTGGTACGGCAGCGATGGGTGCTTGACCGTATGCATTGCTAAACGAATGGTCCTTTTTTGGCGACATACAAGTCGTGCGAATTTTTGTACGCGGACTTTGGGGTACATACTTGCCCATAACCACATTTTCATAACCTGTTTTTGGTGAACTAGGGCCTTGAGTTTGACCACCGATTTCCACCCGGTTCTGGCCAACCAATCGCACATTTTCATAACCAGTAGAACTGGAAATTGAACCGTTATGTGCCTTGGTGTTGAGATTGCCGCTGCTGCCTGAGAACGATTGCTGAAGCTGCGAGCCGGATAGGTCGTGGTAGAAAGGTGACTTCTTGTCGCGTGGCAGTGACCCGTTTGTTTTGATTCGGTTTTGAACAATAGGTGAAGAGGTGAGGGACGCGGCACAACTTTGATTTTGGCGATCGGAATATTCAGTACATATCTTCAGCATGTCTTCAAGGCGTTCATTCTCTGAGCTACTTAAGCTGGACAGATTTCTTCGCTGCATGCTGGGCGAACTCTCGTATTGCAAACGATGCAGCGGCGACGAATTCGCTGAGCTGCTATTAATTTCGGTATTCAATCCGTTCATAGGATAGATTTGAAGACCTCCATAGGTACCTGGTTTTGGGTAACGGTCATAGGCTGGCACATTGTGGTGATGAACACCGCTCGCGCTTCGCAGCGGCGTCGTATTATTCACCTTTGCCAAGAACTCTCCACTCCCATTTAAGTTGGTGCTTGTGTTCTGTATGAAATTCGATGTGCTCGGAACATTGACATAATTTCCTGTTCCATTCTGACCATTTCCCTTTAAGCTATTATTCAACTGATTGTTCCGCACGGGAGAGGAGTTCTTATCGTTGCGATGATTTTCAGCTAAATTTTTTGCGAAGTTGGCGTATTTTTGACCCAGCACATCCTTTGCTGGCATATTCACAGTCACCAGGTCGGCGGTGAATACCTTAGGGCAGTGTAGTCCGTTTATATCGATTGGTGCTGTTGCGACGTTGTTATACAAAGATTTACTGCTACCAAAAATACTCTTCGTGCATTCTCTACCCATTGACATTGGCATCTGTGCATTTGTTATTGGACTGATATGTTCTTCATAAAATGAATTGATGGCTAATGATTGGCGGGCATCTGCACTGCCGCTGCTCGAGCTCAGGCTCTTGGTCGAGTCCCGTCGTGGCACTTGCGTGAAGTCTATCTGTGGCATGGAAATGCGTTCATTCGAACCCATAGCAGAGCGCATCATCTGAGCTTCGGCTGGATTATTGAAACGTAAATAATTTGAATTTCCAATAGTGATCATGGCACCCTGAGTCAAATTGGTCTCATGTGTGATCTTCGTACCATCAATTAGTATGCGAGCATCATGCTCTGGTACGATGGTCACTTCGTTCTCCTCGCTGCGATAGATGGTGCAATGAATCGGTCGAACGCCACTGCCATTCAAAGATATGCTGCAACTGGAGGCTGAGCCAATAGTCATATCACCTGGAATATACAAAAGTTTGCACAAACTACATAAATTTCATGTTGAAAAAGTGTAATTAAATCTTGAAATAGAAATATTCTTAATTGAAATAAATTTGAGCAAGCCGGTGTCTAATGCTTATAAATTTCGTGCGCAATGCCCTCTCGACCTTGATGTTAGGCGGGTCTTCGATGAAACCGATTTGTCAAAAATGATGAAACGACCTTCGCAGCAACTGCGTTAGAAGTGAAGTCATAAATCTGTGCATACAATTTTATATTCGGCATAAGTATATACATATGTTATATGTACATTAGGGTAGTCCAAAAAAAAAATTAACTGGGCCGAAAATCGACATTTTAGAATATTTTTGCTGCCTCCCCCAGTGCTGAAGAATATCGAAAATGAGGACACCCGTATATTTTTTAATTTTGAAATCGCCTAACATTTAGTCGCGCCGTCGGGGTTTTGAAGTTTTCGATATATTTTACTTGGGAAAATATACCTCTTTGTAGAATTTAATTGTTAAAAATATTATTGATAAAAAATTTATTCAATTCATTCATTTATTCAAATTTTATATTTTTTCTTATAAAGTGGGGGGTGGTGTGATTTGGGGTTCACGCAAAAACTATAATTTGGTCCACCTTAATATACACACATACATATGTTTGTAAATATGTATATTTACCAGCTACACACATATGATCTAGGTATGTATAAGTATGTACATATGTATGTATGTAAAAGAGTCGCAAAACGCTAAAAAAGATATTCGAACTAAAACAAAAAGATTCTGGCTACGATCCGTCAAAACTATTATGTTTTGCTAATGGCAAATGCCGGGTTTATTGCCGCGCGATACAATGATGATGTAAGTACATTAACGTTTTGTTTTGCTCAAAATTTAAACAAACAAAAGACTATTGCCAATATGAAATTTAAACAAAGATATATGTATTTGTGTTTATGCATAGGTATTGTAAAATATCTGTTTACGTATCAGCTAGTTATTAAGATCGCTTTAGTAATCAAACATTCGTTATTCATGTACTCATAAATATGTAGGTAGGTAGATGTGCACATATTTAGTTAGTACGTCAAACAGGAAAAACGTCTCATTACTCGATTTTCGAATTTGCATCTACTGATGCCTACTTTTGAAGTTTTAAACGTTTTTATCTTTTCGATACTCGCCGACGCAGATGCGTAAAGGGACATACACATTTCTTACGTAGAATCTCTTGAACGGTTTTTATTTTTTAACCGGTTGCGGCGTTTTCCCATCATCAGTGTCATTTTTCGTTCTAAATACCAAATTTGTCATGGTTTCAGCCACTGGTACTAAATATTCAGCAGGTTGGATATATAATTTAAAAGTACACCGTACATCAATCTCCAGTTCGTCGTTCTTGATTTTGCAACAATACCTCCCCATAATTTAAAAAATTTCTATCCGGGCTGCAAATCATTCCAAAAATCGATCATTCGAACTGTGTAGATAAAAATTATACAGGTAGGAGAACCCTATGGAGGCCAGTATATATGCGTATGCGAAATCTATTAATTGCATAAATTGAAGTTTTGTATATCAATTATTTAAAGCTTAATGAACAAAAAGAATATAACAGCGAATAAATTTGTGCGAACTAACGTTAAGTAATACAAGCCCACACTAGGTGGCAGCGGTGTGCCGGCAATTATAATGCTTTTGCTGTTGCCATATCTGTCCTCTTATCAAACCGCGAATGACCTTCAATTCCATTTTATTTTATTTATTTTTTCGATTATAATGTGGCACATTTCTACAGAACACAATTTGTTTTTTCCATTGAATACTGTTTATCAATAAAAAAACAATTACTTACAGTCAATAAATTAAGTTTAGGTACAGCGATTTTTTGCAATACGGGCAACGGTTTTTTAATTATTTTATTTTTCGCAATTTTTTTTTTATAAAAATATGGTTCATTCTACGACCAAGACCCCAAATATCCAAGCTCCAAAGCTTGTGCAAAATTAAAGAAAATTATGCAAATTTTCATCAAAATATTACACTTTTTAATTACACTTTTTAGAAAACAACTGGGTATGAAGTTTTTAGACCACTCAATTTTAGTAAAATAATGTGCATATGTAATAATGTAGCTACCTGAAACTTGTACATTATTATGGGCGATATTATCACTTGCGAAGCGAATGAATTTGGCGAAGCGAATGGATTGGCGGACGCAACTTAAATATGCATTAAGAGTGTTATTTTTTACCAGCTTGTGGAAGTGCTTTGCATTGCGAACATTTTTAATGCCTTCTCTAGCTCAATCAAGTTAGCGGCGCTAAAATGAAAAAATGAAGAAANGCTTTGCATTGCGAACATTTTTAATGCCTTCTCTAGCTCAATCAAGTTAGCGGCGCTAAAATGAAAAAATGAAGAAAAAAT